CTCTTGACAACTTCTCAGCTTAACCTTCTCGACAGGATCTGAAGAGCGATGAAATAGGCCCCAAATCCAGCCTGAGGGGAACTATAGGTTCTAGACCTTACGGTGTGACCAAAAGCTGCAAGGGCCAAGAAGCAAGATGATCAGCGGCAGCAGCCAGATTGACATAGGATTGGAGAAGGTCAGCACCTAGGAACTTGAATCTCGCGCATGTGACTACGTGGTTTTGGAGAGCCCGAGTCAGACTGGGCTATCATGTGGGTAGTTCTCTAAATTAGGGTCCCTGTTAGGGTCTTCTTTAAAAGAGTGCCATACTATATTGGCGACCCAAAAAGGGACCCCAATTTAGAGAACTACCCAGCCGCCCTCCAGTCTCAAGCTCTTGAAGGAATCGGCTCCCTTTTTAAGCTTCTCAGCTCAAGTTGTGGGCCAGGCAACTACGCAGAGCATCTCGTCTCTTGAAGGGTTTGCTGACCATGAGCAAACAAACCATTCACTCATTTGCTCACTTTGTTGGTAGACCTCCACGGGCACATCCGACGTGCAAACCACAGCAACTAGAGCCTCTGGCTGCTAACTTTGGTGCAAGACTGTCTGTGGCACCCTGACATACCCTAACTTGTAAACCAACCCTACACTCCAGCCATCCAGAATGCCCCATCCGAAAACACTCTGAGCTTGGCGCCATCGTGTGCCCGAAGAAGAACAAGACTGCACCGATGATCACGCCTCAGGTTGCGGGTTCAGGGACTACTGTAAGGCTGTAAGGCTTATGGTTAAACCCTAAACCCTAAACCGTATTGCTTAGGGCCTGGGCTTAGGGCCTAGGGCCTACGGCTATATAAGGCTTAGAGTTTATGGGTTCAGGGGATGTCAGGGGCTTCGCCATCGGTGCCAGGGGGGTCGGGGACCTTGACCCCTGAGCTCGTTCCCGAAGTAGAACCAGGCCTTTACACTTTATTCTGCGATTGCTACCCCTGCCTGTCTCACACTGGCTTCTAACCCCCGCTGCACTCCCGCTGCTCCCGTTGTTTGAGCATGCTTCTGCTATTAGCACCCATGTCCTCCCTGTGCTTTAGCGTTCGGCCGAGATTCCGAAAATGTTGGTCACGGCTTGGTCCATCACCTGGGCGTCGTGGTCAAGCTGGAGGGGCCCATTCTTGCTGGACTTAGCAGGGCCATAAATGATACCACACGTCTCCTGACGTCCCAACTCTGGCCTGGCTACTACTAAGTACTGCTGCAGCAGCAGCAGCTTCTGCTGCTGTTGCTGGTGCTACTACAACGACGACGACGGGTACTACTCGTAATCTCCTGCTCCCGTTCCTGCAGAAGATACCCGGTATGACGAGGAAATCTCGGGGGAACTGGGTAGCACTTCTCCTGGCCTTCGAATCCGGGAGCATACGAGCGGTTCTAATTCCTGCGCGGCTCAGAACACCCCTGCTAGACTTGAGTTCTTGAGAGAATAACCTGAACCCCAAAACACCTACAGTAACGTAAAACGCCCAGAAGCTCAAGATCCCATGGACACCCTCACAGAAACAACTAAACCCTCAAACCCCAACCAAAGAACCCTTTAATAGAGGTCCTAAACCGAAAAGGGACACGAACCGCCCTGAAAGCCTTATAGAGACCCTTAGAAGGAACCTCGAAGCCGAATCTCCAACGCCCATAAGTTTATAGGGTTTAGGGTTTAG